ATAAGTACGGTCGTGATACCCGATAGATCGCATTTGAAAGATGGAGATTTTTTCTGCCACGATACGTTTTGGCTTTTCGATAATTCGTTTGAATAGAGATGAAGAAATCAATTCGAGTCATCATTGACACGCTTTCTATTGACTAGGATCTATTGGATATTTGATGCATTACTTAGAGATGGGAGTGAATACGAGAAAGATCAGGCGCATCTGTGTGTATAAAACTCTTCATTCCTAATTTTTACATTTATATTGGGAATTTTTTTCATACAAATTTCTGCCAATAGAATTCAGTAGTGAAGTGGTAAACGGAGATAAGTCGACTTATCTCTCAGTTGAGTTTTTGAGGAATTTTGCGGAAAATTTACCGTTCCATATTTTTAAATATTTAAATCATCATCAATTGTAAATTTAGATTACTATATTTACTAGATCTGTGCGCGCGCTCATCTCTTTGTTGTGAAAATGAAGAAATCGAATTTATTAAACTTCATATACTCAGATGTTTTATAAATATTGATAATGACTTAAAGAGAATTAAGAGAATGAAGAGTGAAACACCAATGAATAATTTTTATTCTTCGATTAATTTTTTTTTTTTACTTTTTAAAATAATCTGATTAAAATCTGTAATTGTTGAAAAATGAGGGGAGGGTTATGAATTGATTTCCCAGAAAATTGAAAAAGTTTCTTGAATTCTTCGGAAAATTCCACAGTTTTCCAGATAACCGTAGCTCTTCAAAGATTTTTCTCGAATTATTTGGGAAACCGAAGAATTTTCATGAATTTTGTAGAATTTAGGATTTATGTATGAATATCTGAGAAGCAAGAATTGATCATTTATGCGTATGATAAATATGAAAAATTTAAAATTTGGCAAGTGAAGAATAATTTGGGCGTTAAAAAAATTTAGAAATACTATGTTTATTTTCTCATGATCAACAATTAGGCAATTTAGATATGTTTTGATATAAAGATAAATTTCGCACATGAAAAAATGAAAAATATGACGCAGAAAAATTTTTTGCCATTTGAAGAATTTAAAAATACCGGGGATTTTTTTCAGCGACTACTTCACGTGACTCATTGACCAATCAAAATTGCGGATTAGCGGTCAGGCAGTTTCGAGATATTTCGATATAAAACAACTTTTTTCTTTCGTCTTTAGTAAATAGGAAACCTTGATCAACGTAACTCGGAAATTCTTGTAACATTGAACAATCGGAAGATTGCTGGCCATCCTTGCCGTGTAAAAATCACTACTCAACTGTCTATGAATTCAATTCCCCCCCAACAGTGCAGAACGTCTCGATCTCATCAACTCCTCAACCAACAAAAAAACCACTCCCCTCAAATTACCAAAAGCATCCTCAATTCTCCAATCTTCATCTCCCCCGTAATCACGAAGAAAACTCGGAAGAAAAACTCAACATCAAAGGAATTGATAAACTTTTAGCAAGGGCATACGCTCCCCTAGAATTGTCAAATGCTCTATTTGTACGAGTCAAGGGCCCGTGGGATCGATTCTCGATTCTCATCCGGTGTTCCGGAAAGTGAGCGTCGAAACTTGGTAGCAGAGCGCGGAGTAAGACTTAATTAGTCTTGGGTAAAAGTTTTCTCTCCACTCTCCCACCCACCTCCCCCGCATTGCTCAACCATCCCCCGTTTTACTTTAGCCTCGTGAGAGATCCAGGATTACACCGTCAACAAGCCTGTCGTGGCCAGCCTCAGTGTATCCCTCCACAGCTACACCCCCTATATCTGTATATCCATTAAATATATAGGGTTACGAAAAGCCGTGGGTTGTGCGAATACCAGTACAGCGGTTGGATGGAAGGAAAACGGAAAAGGCACTTCCGGTGTATCCGAGGACGAGTCATTAAGAGGATTTTCTCAGGGAATCTACTGCCTTTTCTGCGGTACACTGATGTCAACGTAATGCTACCATTATGTACAGTTAAATCCACATGAGTTTAGTAATTAATTTGCAGTTGGTGGATAAATATCGGGGGTCGGGTCTTTATTTCAGGAACGGTTGAGTGGGTTTTAGAGAGAATTGAATATTTGATGGGGTGCTTTTGCGTTGGGGAGAAGTCAATTTTTAGAAGTAATGGACTATGTGGTGTGAATCGTGGTCAATGCACTGGAAAAAGTGGAATCGGAAATTTTTAACAGTGCATGTCCTCTTGTGGGTAAAATACACCTCTAGAAAGTTGGAATATTGACATGGACGTTAATTCTTGGTGTTATGGCTCCAATTTTTGGGAATTTATCACCAAATCCTCTGTACACTGAGAAGACAAGAGTTTTTTGAGACGTACGTCTTTGCTTGTATCAAGAAATTCATGGTGCGAAAATTACCAAGCGCACAATATTTCACAGTAAGAAAAAAAAATCGGACGCCAAGAAATTTTCTGAGGAATTTTTTACAAAAATTACCCTACCGTTCTATAAAAGTGTATCATGAGTCATCATTTCCTCCTAATATATGATGATCAAATTTTATTCTACGTTAGAGAAATTTTATCCTGATAAAAATAAAAATTACCGTGCCGGTAGAGTAATAATTACTGTACCGATAGGGTAAAATTTACCGTTCTAGAATTTTCATTGTTATCTACATAAAAATTATTGGACTGGAAAGGTAAAATTGATTATGCGTCAGGATAAAATTTCTCTAACGTAGAATAAAATTTGATCATCATATATTAATTTTTACTAAATTTCAGGATAGAAATGAGGAAACAATGACTTATGATACACTTTTATAGAACGGTAGGATAATTTTTATCAAAAATTTCTCTCCGTGTACTTGTCCGAAAGATGAGAACAATTTGTTCCTATCACTAATTCAGTAGCGAAGTGGTCAAACGGTTCAAGTCAATTTAGTCTTTAGTTGAGTTTTCCAGAAATATTTACGAATTTAAGGGAGATAGCGAAATTTTCATTGGAACCGTTTTTGTAGAGCGGAATGGTTGCTACTAAAAAGGTTATGAGAAAAATTTTGCTATTTCTCTTAGATTTCGAGATATTCATTGAAAACTGACCAATAGCCAAAATCGACTTAAACCGTTTGACCACTTCGCTACTGAATTTTTTTGACTTTTTTTCGCCATAAATACCTTAAGGGGAGACATTGGAGTTTGATTTGTCTCCCCTTCAACTCAGATGAATTATCCTGGGTTGAATTAACCGGATACCAATAAAAATTACGTATCTTTTCCGTAATTACGGAGCGAAATGTAATCGTAGGAAGTTTTCCGGAACTGTCACGAAATTGTTCCCGAGCGTTCCGCAATTTTTATCTGAATCTCCTGTGAAAAATTACGATACCGTAACTTAAATTTTCTGAGTCGACTCCGTAATCAATGAGCGAACCGTGAGTTCCGTAATTTTTATTGAACATTTCTCTTCGTGCGCGCAGTAACCGCTTCATGAGCTCCAGTTGCCCATGCATTCATCTAGTTTTTTTCCCACCCAAATCGAAAACTCCTCGCCATCCAGAAAACACGAATTGGAGTTTTGAAAGAGAAGTGATTCGATACTGATTGAATGCCATGATATTCTAGATTCTGTTTGATACTCGGAGAATGGATTTTCGTCCATTAGTTGAGGATGTCGGAGAGAAACAAATATTGAACGATGGAGATGATTTTTCCATTATTTTTTTCGTCAGGAACAAAAAGAACACTAGGAAAGTTGAAACCGCTGCGTTTGCTGCAACGACTTGGATTATCACATTTTTGCAATACCAGGGTTTGGGGAATATGACGAAACATGAATCCATCAAACGCAAAAAGCAGAAAGTGGGTCAGATGTTGTTTGCGGATGCAAAAATTAATTGAGTTACGACGAGATATTGACATGCTTGAAATCAGCCCACAGTATTGGTGGATGCGAGTGAAAAATTACGATTGATCAATCCATTATCGAAATGCCCAGGGACGTGGTGACGTCAGGTATCCGGTGGATGCTCTTTCGTGAAATGTTCCCTTGAGATATTGGAATATCAATTTTTCCTGAGTAAGAGACGTTGACGATCGCTCGACAGTTAATTAAAAGAAGAAAATTTCTACCGAACGACTGCATAATGTTTTCATCAATTTCTTAATTATGAATATGCCAAGAGTGATTTCCAGGGAAACGGAATAAAAACTTGTTAGATGTTTCATTTGTTTCATGAATAAAAACTGACGTTTGCATGTTTTTTTTTCATTGTTGGGTTCGAAAATTGCACGCAAAATATTAGACATTTTTTAAAATTTGATCGATAATGAAGAAAAGAAGAATTTTTGTCATTCATGCCCGTTAAGTGGCGTTTTCGTGGCGTGTTTTAGANTCTGCATTTTTACTGCCTTCGAATAAATAATTTTTTTTTACCATGAATGAATGTTTCTTTGATCAAAATAAAGACTTTGTGAGGATGTCATGATCCCTTATTTGGAATAAGTTAATCATTTATTTCATATATTTGAAAAATTTTCATTGAAATAATTCTGCATTGTTAGACAAAAATTGAAATTTTATGGATGGTTGACTAACAATTTTCAAGAGAGCAAAATTGATTTGAACAACGTTTATTTTTCAACTGTTGGGTTTGAAAATTGCACGCAAAATATTAAACACTATTTTTTAATTTAATGGATAATAAATTCAGGACCAGTTGAATTGTAATTTTCAGAAAAGTGACACTGAATTCGATTGATGGAAAAAAAAACATAAATTTTGACTGAAAATTCACTGAAATTATCCATCTTTAAGCCGCAACAAATACAACTCATTTGAATTTTCAATCACGAAATTTATTGAAATTTCCGTGAAACCACGTGATAAAAATTTCCACTTTGCATACCCAAAAAATCAACCAACAAATTTCAACAGTGTACGAGTTAACGAATTTCCAACAAAAATATTCTCGAAATAACTATAAAAATGCAAAATAAAGATTTTAACACAATCAATAATTCTCAAAATAATAGGTAATCCTCAAAATAACTCACCTGATCAGCGATTTCCGTCAGATCATGTAGACTGATGTTGTAAATGGCATTTCTGTAACACAACAAGCGACAAACACATGAGAATTACGGTAGGATTGACGGGTATTGTATTATCGACTAGAGCAAACGATGGTGTGGAAATTTCGGTTTATACAGACAGTGTAGGGATATGATGGGATCTGTTGGGCATACTGATTTTCTGCACTAAATTCCGGGTGTGCACTAACAATTCCAGAATCCGTCATTTGAAGAGGGCGGCTGAGCGGGCGGGAGGGAGGGAGTGGGATACTTGTGGTGCTGTCATCGCGAACTCATCGATCTTCCTCAATTAGTAGGGCCCCATGCATAATTATCGAGTTTGGTGGTACGTGCCCGCGTGATAAACGTGTGCATCCATTATCGGACGGCTCGTGACGGCTTAGCTCGCGGTCGGACGTGAAATTGATTATGCCTGGTATACCGCTCTCTCGTGTGTGCAAACGCGACTACCCGGGATTCCCCTCTTCCTCCTTCCTCACTCGCTCTTTTCATCCCCAACAGCCGTTTCCATTTCTCTACCCCCGCTCTGGCACGTTATTTATGCACTTGTGCAGGTTGAGATTATCTCCAGAGAAATTATTCTATCATCATTCATTTGATTTTATTGCTGGGTGAGTGGAATTGTTCATTTGGGGTGGGGTTAATGCCCTATTTGAAAAAAAAATGGGTGAATGAAATTTCATGAGCAGTCGACTGGTAATTTTCAGGATAGTGATATTGAATGTCCTTTAGGACGAAAAAAATCATAAAATTTCTGATTTTACTGACAATTTGATGAAATTCCTTATTTTTGAGCAGCATTAAGGTGTTTCGGGTGTTGATCACCGGGGGGGGGGGGAGTCTTATTGCTCTCGAGCTCGGATTCAATCGCTGAGCACGACATTTTCCAATTTTCAACTGACTATTTAAGTGTGCATGTTCGGTTTTCCACCGAATTATTGCTCGGGCAAACGCACATATACACGCTTGCACACACACTACACTGAGAGAAAAATCTGAAGTTCGATTTACAATACGAAAATAGTTGAGGCAGTTTTGGTGAACGATACGAGTTTTTTTTGTATGCGGTACATAACATTATAGTAACTTCACAAGCGTAATTTTTGCAAATCAAAATGCAGTTAAACTAGCCAAAGTTCAAAAGTAACCACGACAAATCTATAGTGAGTAGAACTATAAAATAGTTGCAATGACTACATTCCATTGTAGTAATCACTTCTCCGACCATAGTTACCATAACCCATGCAAAATTGTTGAGGACTTTTTGACTATAGTTCGATGGTGATGGAATGTAGTCAGAAGAATCATATTTTTCTCTCAGTGTAGTTTCGCTCGCATGCTTGCATGGCTTTGCCCACAGCTGATCTGCTCTCTCACCTCAGATGACCAATGGCCTCTCACTTCTGACACCTGAGGCGCCACTTGATGGACAAGTGTCCAGTGAACGCCCCCATTTAAATTGATGCACGTTCGGATCTTCGATGATTGACACCTGCCATCTTGCGGTCCTTTAATCGCTCTCATTTGCATTTCGGCCATCGTACAGTGTACTTTGCATTCTGCGAATTGCTCTATTGTTCTTCTCGAGTCCCGCGTATTATCGCTCTGCGTTGATAATTTTGTGAACTGCTCAATAATATTGTGACACGCGCTATTTCTTTTGATAATCTCGATAATTATAATTAATTGAACACGTGTAAATATTCACTCGCTATTGTAATTAAACTGACTGTGTTTGACCAACGTGCACATGTTGTGATTTTTGGACCCTCTCGCGCTCCCGTAAAGAATCCATTTACATCTCGCTCATCGCTCGCTTATTCCACAGATCTCAGACCCGGCATCGAACAGTGCATTTGAACATTTTCTGGATGTTGATTTTATTCATCACATTAATTGATTTTTTTCTCATCACCTACGGGTGTCAAATAATTTTTATTGGATGTTTTTCTAATTATTGAAATAATATTAAAATGCGTCTCGAGCCGGTAAACCTGTCGTGTTTTCTCTCTCTCAGTTCCATGGTCCAACCTATACCTTTCCCATGATGCTCACTGACATTCGAATCACGCACCTGCGCGTGAGTTCGTAATTACCCCGAAACTCATAATTTGCCGAATTTTTCGTTCAAATAATTTTCTTATGAAATCTGAAAAAAATCTGAAACTTATACGTGTTCTCAGGAAAGAGTTGATTTATCACCCACTAATTTTTCCTCAAATAGTTCATTATTTTTTTGGGTGCCATGTAAATTTTCCTAAGTGAGAGTGGGGCAACTTCGGAGGTTATAGCTGGCGGGGTTACAAAAACATTCAAATTTCATTATTGTTTTTCTTGAGACTGAGATCTGAAAAAAATGTGCAAGAATTCTCAATGATGCAGCATACTCAGACATTTCTCCCATGAGTTCTCCAAATTTTTTTCATTATTTTGACTTTTTGTACGAAACACCTAAAGACAAGAATGCCTCAACTTATTTGAATTTCCCATAAAAACATACATATTCAGTGCCAAATTGCATTGAATTTTCCATAAATTGAAAATTTAAGAATAGTTTACCGGAATTTTTCTCATTTCTATTACCTGTCAGGGAATAGATAAAGTCAAATTTAGTTTCCATGGATTGTTCCATGAAATTGTCTATTTTTTTCTTTTCGTATTATAAATACGTTTAGTCTCTAAAATATTAAAAAACTGTAATCGCATGCAGAATGAAAGAAAAAATTACCTATTTTCCCTCATTATCAGTAATTATTCAGATACGAATGAATTTTTGGAAAAAACGCAATAAATTTCTCATAACTTTCTTTGAAATTAAATTAATTCATTAAATTAATTGATTAAAAAATATTTTTACCTCTAACTTTTCTACGAGTAATAGAATGAAAATAAACATGACGACCTAACAGTGTCATTTTCCCTGATTGCGAGAATAAAAATAAACATAACACAGAACTTCATTGGATTGGAAAAACCTCAAATGAATTTTTTTCGAGTCTCCAATTATAATATTTCCACCACTAGAAAATTTTCCACACAGTTTATTCCTCCATTCTCCTCGATTATTTCCACCCCCTTTTTTCTTTATTCTCTCCACGTGCTCAATTTCATGAGCGAAAATGTATGCATTTATATACTCCAATTTTATTCTCCACTTGAATTTTTTTTTTTCATCATGCATGGAATCCCCTCCCGCCCCATCACTATTGAAAATTAAACAAGAACGAAAAGAATTTGCATGCTAAAATTCAAGTCTTTATGGTGCTCCAATTTTCCTTTACTTGCAATTTTTCGGAGTGGGAACGAATATATGGGATGGTGAATGTCTCTTTTCCTAATTTTACTGTTGATGCTCTCTTATTATACCCTTTCTCCTGTCATATTTGATATTTCTTTTTTCGATTCATTAGTAATGATCATTCTCATTGCAAAAAGCAATACGACCGATGAGAATCATATACCCCAGTTAATCAGCTGTTAAATTTTCATATTACAATAGATGATTTCGTTTCCAAGGGCCCTTTCGTTTCCAAGCGTGGAGTACGCTGGATGCAAGTAAAATGTAATGACTTCTAATGAATGAAGAAAAAAAACCGACGTCGGTGGCCGAGTGGGCTAGGCGCACGTCTAGTATGCGAAAGGTTGTGAGTTCGATTCCTCGTCGAACCAAATTTTTCAACGGAAGGCTCCTGCGAGCGGGAGGTTGCTAATAGAGTAACCGCCTGTACCGGCATGGGTTTCCTGTGGTTTCCCATACTTACTCCTATGTTCTATAGGAGTGCGAATGCGGTACAGTGTAGAATGTACAGCCGAGAACTCAAAAGGCTTTAAAAAAAATCAATGGAAAATTATGAAACCGATATGTAATTGAAGCTACAGTATTCCTTTTTTCGTTGTTATTTATTTGGTTGAATTAAATTCCATCATTTTGGGAAGAATCAATTCTAAAGACAGTCATTCATATTGTCCTGCGTCGATGCATGGCATCGACCACGTAACAATTACAATGCAATTCCTTCTAGTAGACACTCTAGACTGTAAATTTCTGGAATTCAATGTTTGTTGATTAGATTTCGTTCCGGAATTTTTTACGTGTCGCCCTCTCAAAAGACTCGAAATAAATTAAAACAATCCTCTTAAAACTTCACCTCTCTATCTAAATCCTAAAACGCCTCCCAAGAGCCTTCATTTTTTCATAAGAATAATTGCACTATTGTATAATGTGAATAAAAAAACGAAAAATTTTCGTCAAAAGTAATTCATTTACTCTGTAATTTTCCATGATTACAACATTTTTAGTGACATAACAGGGGGAAGGGGGGAAATAGATTCGAATTTTTCATGAAAATCTCGTGCTACACGTATGAACAAATCGTATAGAAATTTTCTATACGTATTGCGTATAGAATTTCTATACGGATATCTTTTATACAAATTATTTCTATACAATTTCTATAGGTTTGATCCTATACGACCCTCTGCCCCACACTGAGAGAAAAATATGATTCTTCTAACTATATTCCATCACCATCGAATTATAGTCAAAAAGTCCTCAACAATTTTTCATGGGTTACGGTAACTATGGCCGGAGAAGTGATTACTACAATGGAATGTAGTCATTGCAACTATTTTATAATTCTACTCACGATAGATCTGTCGTGGTTACTTTTGAACTTTGGTTAGTTTAACTGCATTTTGATTTGCAAAAATTACGCTTGTGAAGTTACTATAATGTTATGTGCCGCATACAAAAAAAATCGTATCGTTCAACAAAAGTGCCTCAACTATTTTCTTATTGTAAATCGAACTTCAGATTTTTCTCTCAGTGCATGTATAGAAACATTTCGTATGGAGTTGCGACATTTCTCTACGTTTTTCTCTGGTGCGTTTAGACATCTTTCGTATGAAAACAAAAATTTATATAAAAATTTATGTATAGAAATAATTCGTATAGAAAATATTCGTATAAAAATATCGGAATATCATATACGGAAATCCTATAGAATTTCTATACGCAATCCGTTCGATTTTTTCACACGTGTATTCTTATGGAAAAGAAGGCTCTTAGGAGATGTTTTAGTACTGAGATAGAGGACTAAAATTTTGAGATTTTTTAAAATTTATTTCGAGTCTTGGGGGGGGGGGGCAAATAAAAAATTCCTGAAGGGCCCTATTGTTTATTCTCTGGTAAAAGTGCGTGTCCGCACTGTTATCAATTTTCAGTTATTTCACACGAGAATTCAATTAATCTGTTGTTCATCTCATCCCGGGATGGCCATCAATCATAGAATCCCTCAATATTAACAGAATTTACGATTTACATTGGTTAAAGTTAAAATATATTAATCCGAATTAAAAATAGTACAACAATTGAGAATCTAAATTTTCGATTCATGACGAATTAAATAATGGATAATCTGGAACTGTAAATTTTCTATTAAGTAAATATATACTAATTCGTAACAGGGGTCTTCGATTAACCAATTAATCGTCGATCATCCTAACTTATTGATTAATGAAATAATTCGGAATTTGAACATTTAAATTGATGATTACTTCAATAATTAAAAGTCTAAGAGTGATATTAACGAATTCCTTGCGTTTCCTTCATATACAATCCGAAGATATAGAACCCATTCACTTATGAAAAGACGTAAAAATAAAAGTTGCCTGAATGCTATTCCGCGATATGAAACGTCCAAAATCATGGTTTTCATTGCAGATTCCTCACAAGTGCATAGAGAAATAAAATTTTCCAAGGCTGAATATGGGACCACCAAATAAATCCCCTCTGATCCCAAATCCTTTTAAAGCAAACATGAATGCAATTTCCTATTTTCCACTGCTCTGTTGCCAAGCATTCTATTTTTATGAGAGTTTTCACGTAAAAACAAAATGTAAAAAGAATTCTACAATTTCAGAAGAACCGAAGAAAATATACATCTCTCGGATTATTTGTTCTTTGAATGAAAGTACGAGAGTCTGAGAGAATTCCTTTTGTTTTGAATCATAAATCCTTAGTGAATCGTTTCTTATTTATATCGATATCTGCTGAGGCATGGGGAACCGCAAAATTTACATGGAAGCTGGGGAAATACCAGATCGAAACCGCTCTACAACAGCCCCTTTCATTGAAAGAGCTTCTTGAGATATCGAAGAATTTAATTTTGGTCGTGAGGGGGTTTTCTCAAATATCTGAAGTTGTACATCAAAATAGGAAAACCTATTTGCGTTGAAAATTGGAGATCATAATATATTAAATTAAAGAAAATTCATTTCATGAATTTTGTAGCTAATTCTCTCAATTATTATTATTTAAAAACACAGTTATTATCAGTCGAAATAAAATGTAGAATTAATTTGGCGAGGATGACCAAATTTCTGAGACAACAATTATTATTTTTTTTTGAGAACTTGAAAGGGCAAAATTTCGTCAAATATTGATGGAAGGCAACTCATTTTGGTTCATCAGTCGTCGAAATACAGATGAATAATTTTTTATTTTACGTTCATTCTTTTTTGTAATATTTCGGAAACTACTGGAAGAGATAGATTGTTCTTCGTCTTGAACTACGATTTTTTTCTTTGCAATCTTCAATGATCGACTAGAAAAAAAAATTTAATTGAGAATATATCATTTGAAAACATTTTCAAATCGATAATGAAGATTCTCAATCCAAAAACAAATTAAAGGCTTCATGCCAGGCAGGCGTAAGTGCTATGGATTTCTTACACTGTTGGAAAATAATTGAAATTTTATGACCAATTGACTAGTAATTTTCAATTTCGGGATAAGAAATGATTGAACTTCGGATTTCCTTGAATATTCACTTAAATTCACAATTGTTAAGCAGCAGGAAGATGAGAATCCTGAATTTTACTTGAGTTTTCGATTAAAACATGAATAGTCAGTACCGAATTGTCCAGAATTTTCAATCAATTGAATAACTGGACTGAAATTTACAGTTTCCATTGATATTCTCATAAAATTTTCAATTTCTAATGACGCACTCCCTTGAAATTCCATAAAATAATAAAAATTTCAAAGGAATGCACCGTAATTTTTACCATTATCAGAATACCTCCCTAAATTTTCTCGATTAAAAATATACTGAGCGAAAAATTTCCCAACATGTAGACCATATTTACCTGAGAAAAGAAAATTATTTTTTATGGCTTAAATCTCAAAATGTTTGCACCTTACAAAACTCGATAAAATTCTCATTTATCACTATCGTTCCGCGTTGTATCATAAATAAATTCCGTGCATAAAGAAAATCATGAAAACAATAAATACTGGAATACTGGATTGACAATTCTCCAACGTGATTTTTAAGCAGCAGGAAGATGAGAATTCCCAATTTTATTTGAGTTTTCAATCAAAACATGAATATTCAGTACCGAATTGCCTAGAATTTCCAATCAATTGAATAAATGAACTGAAATTTATAGTTTCCATTGATAGTCTCATGAAATTTGAAATTTCTAATGACGCACTCCCTTGAAATTCCATAAAATAATAAAAATTTCAAAGGAGTGCACCGTAATTTTTACCATTATCAGAATACCTCCCTAAATTTTCTGCATTAAAAATACACTGAGTGAAAAATTTCCCAACATGTAGACCATATTTACCTGAGAAAAGAAAATTATTTTTTATGCCTTAAATCTCAAAATGTTTGCACCTTACAAAACTCGAAAAAATTCTCATTTATCACTATTGTTCCGCGTTGTATCATAAATAAATTCCGTGCATAAAGAAAATCATGAAAACAATAAATACTGGAAGACTGACGACTCACCAACGCGATTTGAGTGAGTTCATCTGTGACAAAATCATATTTGAGTACAAGAATATTTTAAAGCCAGTAGATACATTTCAGATATTAAAATTGTTTTTCTCGTGTACTTTATGCTTGAACTAAAAATATTCGTTCTCGAATTGATAAAAAAAGTATTCAATTGGCGACTATTTTATCCGTGAATGATAGATCTCATTCAGCAGTTTCAAAGCCGCCAAATGCGACTCGATTTTCACCTCTGAGCGTTTCCCCTCACTTTCCCAAAGTGCACAATCCATAACTGGAGAAAAACCACATCCCCCCGGCCCTGGAGTGCATAAGAACTAAATTTCGTAAAAGCATGCACAAATGATAATACCTTGCACCAATCAGGATAAAAGTAGGCGCCCGTTCAAGAAGCTTAAAGTGCTCCACGTGACTCTCATTTCCCAAGAACCTCTGGCCGATCACATCCCCTGTAACAAAACAGAAAAAAAAACACCTTAATATATATATTTTTCGTGAGTGCAATGTACAATGTTCACTCTCATCTCATCAGTGGATCGAGTGTGCAGTTCTTACGTGTTAAGCATTCGTATGTACTCTAGGTCTATTCTATTGGATACGTAACAGGCGCGAGAGTGTGTGGAGCCCTCACAATAAATTCAAAAGAGGGAAAAATAAATATTATACGTAGAGGTTCGGAAAAAGAATGAGTTGGGGAAAAAAATAACATGAAAATAAGTGAAATGAGGGAACAAAAGTGGGAGAACGAAAATGGCAGAATAAATACAAATGGGTTGAGGCGGCATGAAATATTCCACTGAGCTGGTGTATGTTCAAGACGCGTGGGGAGTATATATTGAATTTTATACCCCCCGCACTTCTGGCCCCTTCTTAACCCTTGGGTGTGCACTTGAAGGATTGATAAATCTATTATTTGCATCTCTGTGGCAAAATATAACCTCGAGAGGATTTACCCTCCTTCGGCAAATGTAATTTGTGATCTTCAAGAAATAAGAAAATCCGAGGGATGAAAAAAATGTTGGATCGTGGAGGAAAAATATTACGGGATAGAGAAGATTGTATTTTATGCGAAAACGTTTTGCGTATTGAATTAAGAATTTCAAAAGCAGGAATAGCCATGTCCATAAATTATTAAGTAGTCATCATTTTAAATATTCAAATTCCGAATTATTTATTAATCAGTAATTTAGTTAGGAAGATTGATGATTATTTGGATAATGGAAAATCCCTTAAAAGAAATTTAGAATTAGTTATTTAATAGAAAGTTCATAATTCCATATTATTAAATATTTAAGTCATCATCAATTGGAAATTTAGATTATCAATTATTTTACTATTTTTTAATTTCGATTAATCTATTTAAACGTTAATCAATATAAGTCGGAAATTCTTTTAATATTGCAGAATAGGAAGATCGATGGTCATCGCTGTTCAAAAGCCTTGAATTGAAAATTATTAATTAAATATTATTTTTTCTTTCTTCAGTTTCCGCTTTTGAAAATATGATTTTCAGTAACCGATGCCAATGCTTCTCAGAATACATATGAACTTTGTGTACAAAAAAAGAAATTTATGTACGAAAGGAAATAAATTATTAATTATTAAAATTATTCTTTAAGTTCATCTAAACTTTCTGAAGCATGAAATTCTGAATAAAAATTAATTTATTAAAAATTTGAGAAAATTAGCTCTAGTCTTCATTTACGATAATAGTAACTTTTTATGAATGTTCTGTCTGGTCCCTTCACAACCCTTGAGGGTGCACTTGAAGGGTTGATAAATCTATTATTGGCATCTCTGTGGCAACATATAGCCTCGAGAGGATTTACCCTCCTTCGGCAAATGTAATTTGTGATCTTCAAGAAATAAGAAAATCCAAGGGATGGAAAAAATGTTGTTTCGTGGAGGAAAAATATTGCGGGTTAGAGAAGATTATACTTTATGCAAGAATATTTTGCTTATTGAATTAAGAATTTTAAAAGCCTTGAATTAAAAATTATTCTTTGCATAATTCATTATAATCCAACTAAATTTAGTATGTATAAATATTGTTTTTTCTTTCTTCAGTTTCCGTTTTTGAAAATATGACTTTCAGTAACCGCTCCCAATCCTTCTCAGAATACATACGAAAGTTGTGTACAAAAAAAGAAATTTATGTACGAAAGGAAATAAATTATTAATTATTAAAATTATTCGTTGAATTATTATGTAAATTATCTAAATTTCCTGAAGCGTGAACTTCTGAATATAAATTAATTCATTAAGAATTTAAGAAAATTAGCTGTAGTCTTCATTTACGATAATAGCAACTATTTATGAATGTTTTGTTTGGTCCCTTCACAACCCTTGAGGGTGCACTTGAAGGATTGATATATCTATTATTAGCATCTCTGCAGCAAAATATAACCTCGAGAGGATTTACCCTCCTTCGGCAAATGTAATATGTGAATTATTCTGGAATGAGAGAATTAAATTTTCTCGATATCATGGAACATGATTTTCAATTCACAATCGATGATCATCATTATCATTCGTAACGTACGACGCTTCCTGATAAGAATTGACTGGACTAAATGATCACGCTCAATCTAATGTTTTATTCGCAACCTTTAGCATAGTGAATTACTTCGTATAATGAATGAAGGACTGATTCAGGTCATTTCTGGAATTATTTAATCGTTCAACAGGAGTTTGATGATCAATTATGCAATTTTCTCGTTAGCAAGTGACTCCTCATTGGAATTGTTTTCCGCCTTTCATTGAATCAACATATCTAATTCACTTGTGAAAATGGAATTTCACATTTCCCTCATGAAGACCACATTTTCGTACATGAATATTATATCGCAATCACGAAATTGGGGTCTCTAGCATCATATAATATTCTGTTTTTGTACTTTGTGAAGGACTCAATTAAGTAATAATTCTCTTATCAACATTTTGATGTGGTGGACGCAATTTTATAATGAAGTTAATTTTAATTATCTTTAGAATAAAATTGGACAAAAAAAATTCTCTCATGAGAACTTATTGTTGAGAAAATCACACGAATAACACGATTATCACACGACTATTGTTTGAAATTGTATTTCAGGAATTTTTAATTCTAATAGAGAAAAAAAATCTGAGGTAAGTAATAATATTTGGCTTTCATAACGACATTTTTTCGTTGATTCACGGAAAAAATACCTGAATTGAGTATAAAATGTACTTCATTCAAGTATATTTTATACTGAATTGGGGAATGGGTATTTCACTTCGAAGATGATTCTTTTGTATCAGGCCGGGTTGTAAGAAGCCCTCTTAAGTGTAATATAAGGATCAGGAACTAAGTGTCAGAATATAAGGGTCAAAAAGAGGAGGTTAAAAAATGAGGGTCAGAATATAAAAGTAAAAAAAGCGGGTGTCAGGCAATGAGGGTCTAAATATAAGTCATATATTATGCTTCATCACCGTTTTTAGCCCTTAAATGACCCTCATTGCCTGACACCCACTATTTTACTTTTATATTCTGACCCTAATTTTTTTATCCTTATATTTTGACCCTCTTTTCTTAGCCCTAACATTCTGACCCTCATTCCTTCGCCTTTACATTCAGGCTCTGAGTTTTTGACCCTTATATTCTCAAACTTAGTGTCTGACCCTTATATCACACTTGATAGCGCTGGGTACAACCCGGTCTGATACGAAATAATCATCCTCGAATTAAAATACCCATCCCCTATTGGAGTATAAAATATATTGAATCAAGTATATTTTATGCTTGAATCAGGTTTATGCACATGTTTGATTCTGGTATCAAATATACTTAATTCAATTTTTTTCCGTGTTCTTTTCTTCGGGCAGTCTTCTTTATTTTAGAATAGAACATATTATGTAATGAAAAATATTTTCCATTAAATTTTCGACACTCTATCCCATTGATAGCATCTGTTTTCGCTCTGTACGTCCGAATAATGAGGAAAAGAAATGTCCCAATTAATTCATAATTTTCTTTGCATTATTTTGATGCAACGAAGGTGATTTTGCGATGAATCAACAACTAAATTAACCAATTCAAATAATTTTTGGAATAAAAATATTTAAAATTATATTTCAGGGATCTTTAATTGGAAGTAAGAGAAAAATCTAAGGTAAATGATAAATTTTGTCTTTTATAACGAAATTTTTCTCTTGATTCTCTTCTCCGTGTCTTCTTTATTTTAGAATAAAAAATATTATTCAATGAAAAATATTTCGGATTAAATTCTAGAATAGCATAAACTAGCATTAAATTCTCGACACTCTATCCAATTGAAAACATTTATTTCCACGTTATACGTCCGCATAATGAAGAAAAAAAGTGTAGGATAATTTTCTGTAATAAAAGAAATATTAACCCATAGAACGAAAGAATGAGGAGAAAAGGAGGTTGTGAAAGAGACAGAGTGGGTGGTTCCTTGATCACGCGTCCCTCGTAAATTACAACTAGAGATCCCGAGGAGAGGTTGTTGAAGTGCTGGAAGGAAAGAAATGGGAGTTCCAGTGTTTTTTATTTTCATTCTAATTTTTCGTACTTGCGAATGGTACCTGTGACGCGCAATGGTACCAGTGGAATATACCACTCGACTGTGAAATTAAAAAGCTTTTATCATTCTCACATCCTCGGGTTGAGCTGATGAGGAGAAGACTAGAGGGTGAATTATCATTGAAGTTCCACTCAAATTGTGGGGAATGAGGAGAGCAGTATTAATTGGAGGGTTAAGGGAAATTCGAGTTTCGTGGTAAGATCTAAAATAAAAGAATCACTTAAATGGCGATATGATGGCTTCTATACCTTCAAGAATGTTTTAATTAGCAGAGAAAAAAATTCTTTGAAGTGAAAATAACAAAATAGAGAATAATTAAATTTATGCCACTCATGGCTGAAACCGGCTGGATTACACACTCGACGCTTCGCGTCTCGTGTCTAATTCAGCCGGTTTCAGGCTTCGTGACATAAAATTTTGTTCAGTACTTGTTGGGAAATTTCGTCCTTAACGTGTGTGGTTACATCACTCGCCTTCGGCTCATGCTGTAAACCCCACACACGTTAAAGACGATATTGCCCCACACGTGCTGAAATATACTATTATATGATACGTGCGTATAACCGCATGGGTTTCAGTTGACTATAGTCAACTGGAAAGTAGCGGGTTTCGAGCGCCTATCCACACTCAACTAAAACCCGAAATAACGCATGACGCGCATGCGCATCACCTATTAAAAGAGAATAACAAGGAAGGAAATCTAACCTCCGAATAGTGAATACATGGAATGACTGAAAAATGAAAAGGTGATTTTCGAAGCAGATAAAATGAGCCAAAATCGTATAATTCCTGATAGTGATGAAGAGTTAGGCAGTGAGGAGGATTTATTTACTGATGAGGAATTGATTGGTGATGTGACATTTGAAGAAAATGGAAATGAA